AAAGACAAACAGAAGAGCCAGCAGCAGGCCGGATCTTCTAATGCCTCTCCCCACCCCACTCCCGGTCACCAAGCGCCACCCGCCCACTCTGCCAGATGGAGAAAAGGAACAGCATGGCCTCTGTGTGCTGCTGTCCACCGGATGAGCCCACCCCGAAGAGCAATTTCGCAGTGTGATGGCCTTAGGAGTTGATTCCCTGAGGCCCGAGATCACAAACATGATTTACCAAGAGAATCTGGCAAAGAGGACCAACAGAGAATGTTGATTCAGTGTCCCTATTCCCCAACCATCCAACCCAACTCACCCCGACTCCCACCCTTGGCAGAGGCAAGAGGCCACTTCCTAAGCATGGTTCTTCCCCAGTGCTTAGGATATTTGTCACTTCCGCCACCAACACAGAAAATAGGAGTTGAGCTTGATTATGGCAGTGTGCGCCTATAATCCCAGCACCCAGAAGACTGAGGCCAGCCTGGGCTATACAACTCGTTCTGGCCAGGCTAAGCTATAAAGACCCTGTCAAAAGCCGGGGAGGGGAGAAGGCAAGGAAATAGAACCATAAAGTGTCCCATACACAAACACCTCACTTACAAAAGCCCCTTCATTTCTTCTGGTCACTGCAGCTTGGGAGAAAACCTGTTTGGATTTTCATCTTCTTTGGGCAGTCACCACATGCTGGGGACCCCAACCCTCAGGTCTTAGGGCTAAGGGCAGGGAGATCTCATCTGTGTCTATGGAGCCCACATAAACAACCTAACACGCATATCTCCTGGAAGGCAGCTTCCTGGTCCACAGTACACGGATATAGTCCTGGAAAACCTCAGACTAGGGATGTCTAAACCTGGAGTTCTCCCTCTTCCCTCTCCTCCTTCCCTCCTCCTTCTTCTTCTTTCCTCCCCTCCTCCTCCCCTCCTCACCCTCTGGCCTGGCCTGGTCTGTCTCTACAAAGTTTGTTCTCTCCTTGCCTCCATGTGTATTTTTCCAGCGAGCCCACAAGGCTGAACCCACAGGAAAGCATTGTCTTTCACCACTTCTAGCCACTTCCCAAGAGTCTCTCAGTCCTGCCCCCCTCTGCCCAGATCCAGGAGTGTGCCCACACTGGAGCAAGTCCCACTGCCATGGCCAGCAGCACTCCTCTAGGCTCTAAGTCACTCTTGACTTTGCTTCTCCAGCCCTCCCTATTAGTTTCCCAGTGTGTCCCCATGCCCTGAAAACTAAGGCACACTCCTTACCCTGACCTACAATGCCCCCACTCTCAGTTCTCAGAGCCCCCCCGGCACACACATACCCCACAGGGACTTTCAGTCAGAACACTTCATCCTGGCTCTGTTGCTGTCTGATGACTTGTATGTCCCTCACCAGGACATAGTTCCATAAAGATGGGGCAAGGCTTGTTTTCATACACCCAGCAACCAGGCACAGGGGTGGCACGACCACCAGGCAAGAGCAAAGAACCCTCCATCTCAGACAGCCATCCCTGTCCCGGTACGGTGTGCACTGTCGATCAGAAGGACCCAGCCACAGCCACCAGACAGAATCCCACCAAGGCTGGTGTGAATCCCACTGCCTTCCGGCTGGTGTAAGCTTTTAGAAGGCAGACCTTGTCAGCCACATTCAGAGAGGCTATACCAGCCCATTGGGGCGTGGCCTCTCTCCCTTTAAAAAAGTGGCTATTTCCTCTGCTCGCTCTCTCTTCACTTCCTGCTCCGCCGGAGACTAGACTCCCTTCCTGGTTGTGCAGATGGCTGTTGTCTGGGACGGTGATCTGTAAGTTTTCCCCTTTAAATAAATAACACCCTATTAATCATAACTCCAAACTGGTGTGGCCTTGTTCGTGACTTACGCCTTCACTGTGCTTGTTCCTTCCCAGTCCAGCTGGAGTTGGTGAACTCCCATTAGCTCAGGTAGACTGTTTCAGTGGATGAACCCATCATGGTCTTGACCTCTTTGCTCATATTGGGAGAGTGTGTGAAGGGAATGGGAGGAGGAAAACGAGTGGGAATTTGGATTGGTATTTTTAAAAATATATATAATTTTTTTTAAAGGCAGACACTAAAAGGCACAAAATTCTCACAGCAGAAGAGGATAGCTGGGTATCTGATTGTCTTGAGTCCCTTCGCATTAGGGGAGTCTCCTCTGATGAACACAGGCATGCTGCGGGCAGAAAGAGCCACATCCTCGGAGAAGGTGGACAGAGTCCTCCCACTGTATCCATAGGAAAAAGGCAGAATCATCTATGTAACAGTCCACAGTGCAGATGGAACCAGAGTCCAGCTCCTCCCACCTCCCAGCTCCCTCCTAAACTCCTGGGAGAGACCTGGTGCTGTTCTAGATTAGAAACCCTGCTCACTGGGCAGTGGTGAAGCCACTCCTTTAATCCCAGCACTCGGGAGGCAGAGGCAGGGGAATCTCTGTGAGCTTGAGGTCAGTCTGGTCTACAGAGTGAGTTTCAGGGCAGCCAGGGCAGTCATACAGAGAAACCCTATCTTGGGAAAAGAAGGAAGGAAGGAAGGAAGGAAGGAAGGAAGGAAGGAAGGAAGGAAGGAAGGAAGGAAGGAAGGAAGGTCGGTCACTAGCTAGGTAGCTTTAAACAAGTTGCCCCATCTTTCTGAATTCAGTTTTCTTCTCTCTAAATTACAGCAACATTGTAACGTGTGTTAAGACCCAGCACAAAGGAGCTTCTGGCTTCTCCAGGCTGTCAGGGAGCGCTCACCATCCCTATGTGCTCTTACTGATGGAAATTAAGGAAGCTATGAACTATGCATGTGTGGACATGTGTGTGTGTGTCTGTCTGTCTCCATGTTTATGCACATGAGGGCTTGGGTTGGGGTCCAGTTAGAAACAGAATGTATTTTCTAAGAATTAGTTTACAAGAGAATACATCTCCCAAAGGCCTGGGGAGGAAAGCAGCCCTCCGGCAGGGTGCTGAAACTTCAGAGTAAGCCTCTGGCCCAACCTCCATCTGGGACCTGCCTGGATATAGAACTCTGCATGTCATCAGGCCCTCTGCTCCCACCATAAAACTGTCTACTCACCAAAGAGCAGTAGTGAGCATCTAGACTCTACCATAGGTAAGGGGTGGGGTTACAAGGAACTCCCTAAAATTCTGTTTAAAAGCCCAGGTCTGTCCCTTTAATATCAGCACTGCAGAAGCAGGCATATCTCTGGGAATTTGAAGACAGCCTGATCTACATAGTGATTTCCAAGGTTCTGTCTCAAAAAAAAAAAAAAAAAGAAAGGAAGGAGGGAGGGAGAGAGGGAGGGAGGGAGGGAGGGAGGGAGGGAGGGAAAGAGGGAGGGAGGGAAAGAGGGAGGGACGGAAAGAGGGAAGGAGGGAGGGAGGGAGGGAGGGAGGGAGGGAGGGAGGGAGGGAGGGAGGGGAAGGGAAGAGAGAAAGAAGAGGAAGAGGAGGTATTCCCCAGTTAGCAATGGCAATGCATACCTATAATCCCAGCACTTGAGATGAGAGGATCCCTGGTTCAAGGTCAGCCAGAGCTACATAGTGAGAACTTGTCAAGAAAGAAAGACAGACAGAAAGGGGGGGAGGGAGGGAGAAAGAGAGATTGAGAGAGGGAGGATTTTCTCTCACAGATCCTCAGCCTTTGGCCACACAAAAGGACAAGGATAAAGACATACCTGGCATCTTCATCCCCAAACTATATCATAACCAGTCCCTGGGCTTGGCTCAAAGGACCCATGACTTATAAGCCCCAACTTGACTAGAAGCCACTGAGGGAGCCATAGAGGCACCAGGCCATGGTGATAGAGCTCTCTCGTCCTAGCACTCAGAAAGCTGAGGCAGATAGATCCTAACTTCAGTGGGCTACAGAGTGAGTTCAAGGACAACCCGAACAATTTAGACCCTGTCTAGAAAGGGAAAAGGAGAGCTGAGGGTGCAGATCAGTGGTAGGGTACTTTCTTAGGATGTGGGGGGCCTTGGGTTTAATCTACAGCACCCAGAGGGAGGTAGCCACAGAGGCAACCATAACATCTAAGCAGGCCCCCTGACCTTCAGTTCCATCCCCTGCCTGGTCACAGCTCCAAGTATCCTTAGAAAGTCTAAGTGTCTAAGGCCTTCCTTGCTCTCTCATCCCAAGGCCCAAGTATCTCTTTTCCACTATCTCTTTGCAATGAGCCTGCCTGCTACCCTTTCTGAACCACTTCGTTCACTCCACAAGTATGCACTGGGGGTCTCCTGTGTCTCTGAAGAGAGCAAATGAAGAAGGAAGCTATAAAAAGAGGCATAGACAGCCCTTTGGGCTCTATGACTTACAATGAAAATCTACACACAAGCAAGCACTGACTATATGACAACTGTCGTTTGCTGCTTTGTGGACGTATTTTATAAATCCAGTACCCAAACTGACTCATTTAGCCTTCACAACGCTCCTTGGAGACAGACCATCCCTGTCTTGCTGAGGTGTGGACACCTCAAAGATGGCATCCCCAAACTTAGACAGCTAATAAATGCTACAGCCAGATTCCAGTTCAAGCCCTGTGACTCCACCTGCCTCCTAGTAGCCTCAAGTACCTCCAAGCACCAAGGAGGAGGGAACTAATGGTTTTTATAGAAAGAAGCCAGGGAAGGTGATACCAAGGAGGAGACTTTGAACTGGGTTTTTGAGAGATGAGTAGAAGTTTGCCAAGGGAAAGAGAACAGGAAAGACATCCTAGTAAGGAAGCTAAGTATGGTATGAGATGATACATCCCAGGAGGCCGACTTGCCAGGGCAAGAAAACATGGAGGCTGAGTGATACAAGGCCCTGTGCATCTGGCAGGGTTCTGGAGTCTGGTCCTAAAGTCATGGAGAGCTCTTAGGGGACTTTGAGCTGGGCAGGGACCCCCACTTCCTTCCCTTCCTCATGCTGCTAAGCCACCTGGACACCAGGGCTATATTTGTGAAGCCCTGCACCCTGTGTGCTGGTCCCCCCACCCAGCTTCCCTGCATCCTTCCATCTCCATCCCTTCCCCCTCACTGAGCCTCTGTGCTCTGTGTTCTGCAGGGGCCGTGAGGGCCTCGAGTATCTTCCCGATCCTAAGTGTGATCCTGCTCTTCATGGGTGGCCTCTGCATCGCAGCAAGCGAGTTTTACAAGACACGCCACAACATCATCCTGAGCGCTGGCATCTTCTTCGTGTCTGCAGGTAAGGCAGGGACATACACTGAGAGGATGGGGGTGTGGTATCTCCTGCTCGGGCTACAGGCTGTGTCCCAGGGGAATGAGCTAGGACTCCGGTGCACAGACCCCCGTTCCTGTGCCCAATGCCCTGTCCTCCGACTGCTTGAGGAAAGGGCTGACTACCCTGGTAACTTTCAGGTCATCAGGCCCACCCCTTTTTTCCTCTGACCTCCCAGCACAAGCAAACTGAGGAAGAGGCAGAGGAAGAAGTACCAAGGGGCCCACCCTTTCCCATTCTATCCTGCATGATGCCCAGCTGCACGATGGAAGCCAAGGAAGACTGCCCTACACCGTCCCAGCCAGTGGAGCAGGCGGGCCCCACAGTCAGATATCTTAGCTGTTCCGTGATGTTACATGACCTATCACAAGGGCTTCAGATGTCCAAGGAACAACAAGAACTGTATCATATGCCATTTAATAAATCTGTCTGCCCTCTAAAAGCACTGACCTTGTCCCGGGTCATTCTCTTTCAAGAACATTCACCTGTCTTCCTTCATCGAGTCCTCTCCGGGCTCTTGTAGGAATAAGGCCTTGCCTTATCCTCAGTTTGGAAAACTCAGACGTGGTCACTGTATCTAAAGACTTCGGCCCCCCTTGCCATTCCAGCTGTGGACTGAGCATGGTGTTTAACACCCCCCCCATACCCTATGTCCCCATCTGCAGCCTGTTTGTGAAGCATTGGATAGGGAAAGCCGTTGTGAGTACTCAGCTAACCGTATCAATTGCTGCCACTACCTCATGCTTCATAAGATCCCTCTGTCTGCCCATATTTGCCAACACTGGCCCCTCCCCTCCGGGCTTTATGAAGAGTCAGCATGATGAGATATTGAGGCGGGGCCAGCAAGATGGCTCAGTGGGGAAAGAAGCACTCCACCAAGCCTTATGACATGAATTTCATTCCTGGGACTCAACACAACCATAGGAGAGAACCAACTCCCAAAAGGTATCTGACCTCCACACCCAGGTCATGGTCCACTCATACCCAAATAAAGAAAGAAACAAAGTTTAAAACTCGAAATCGTAATAGGGAGCTTCCAGGTCTACCCTCCTCAGGTTCATCGTATTCATAGAAATGAAAGATCAAGCCCAGCCGGTGTCTCTCATCCCCCTAGCATCTCTCCTCTCTGACCCCTTCTTCCCCCGCAGGTCTGAGTAACATCATCGGGATCATCGTGTATATATCAGCCAATGCTGGAGACCCCTCAAAGAGTGACTCCAAAAAGAACAGCTACTCCTACGGCTGGTCCTTCTACTTCGGGGCCCTGTCCTTCATCATCGCCGAGATGGTCGGGGTGCTGGCCGTGCACATGTTTATCGACCGCCACAAACAGCTGCGGGCCACGGCCCGCGCCACCGACTACCTCCAGGCCTCCGCCATCACCCGCATCCCCAGCTACCGCTACCGCTACCAGCGCCGCAGCCGCTCCAGCTCGCGCTCCACCGAGCCCTCTCACTCCAGGGACGCCTCGCCCGTGGGCGTGAAGGGCTTCAACACCCTGCCGTCCACGGAGATCTCCATGTATACCCTCAGTAGGGACCCCCTGAAGGCTGCCACGACGCCCACCGCCACCTACAACTCAGACAGGGATAACAGCTTTCTCCAGGTCCACAACTGTATCCAGAAGGACAGCAAGGACTCTCTCCACGCCAACACAGCCAACCGCCGGACCACGCCCGTATGAAGACCGTGGAACCGGGGGACCTGGGAGGCTTGGCCCGCGGGCGGGGGAGGGACCGCAGCAGCCACGGGGAATCCTTCCACACGCAAAAAAGCAAACAAACAAACAAGCAAACAAACAAAAAACAAAAAACAACAAAAAAAGAGAAAAACATAGCAAGTAAATTTTAAAAAAAGAACAAAATACAAGAGGAACAAAATCAAAACCACAGGCTATGCGGGAAAAATATAACCGAGGGAAGACAAACTTTAAACAAAGCAAGAGGGATAAAATTAAAATAGAAAATAAATCTAAAAGAAAATGCATGATTTCCCATGTACCATTATTTTAACATTTAATAAAAAACCAACTTAAATGAAAAATAAAAGGGAACCAAGATAATGTAAAGAAAAAAAAGACAAAAAAACAAAAAAATGAAGAAAGCAAGAGAGTATTTATTAGGGTTTATGTTGCCTTTGTTTTTGTTTCTGTTTTGTTTTAACTGCAGGGAGAGTTTTAAAATAAAACCACATTCTTTTCCCTTTAACCCCAGAGGGCCCTGCCTCCCGGGGAGAGTAAGGGTAGAGACTCAGGGCCCCCGGGGCCAGGGGAGCAATGGTCACTGCCAAGCCCCTGGATCCCTGGCTGGGCCCTGGGATGCTGGGGAAGTTCAATGGCTCTGCAGCCAGCTCTACTCAGCATCAATGGGGCAGTTGCAGGCCTCCAGGTGACCCAAGCCCTTGGTCCGCCCCTGTCCGTTAGGTGCCTGGAGGTGGTGCACTTGGGGCCACCCAGCCCCAGGTTCCCAGTCCTTAATGGTCCTTAACCCACTGTGATGACTTCCTAGGCCTTGGGGAAAGGGAAGGAGAAGGGATGACTGCTGGCGGCTCACAGAGAAGCCAGATCCCTGGGATCCTCAGGGGGAGCTTTTGGGGGGTCTGTAACCTGAGCTCCTGTCCTTGGAGGCAGGAGACACCCACCCCCAGGGGATATAGAGCAGCCGTCCCTCCTCACCCCTCACCTCAGGGCCACTAGATGACCCTGGGGCGATGGTGGACCCCCACACTCACAGGCCCCCAGCCCCCTGGAAAGGGGGCTCTTTGACCCTTTGGGGGTCTGTGGACTCATTGATGCCCCTCTGGGGACTCAGTGAGTCCAACAACGACATTGCAAAAAGGTTTCTTTTTACAAAAGAAAAAGGAAAACAAGTGGTGATTTTTTTTAATAAAAAAACCACAGACTATAAATAAATGTAAATATATAATAAGTGAATTTACTTGCAAGAAAAATCAAGTAGTATTTTTTTCTTTTAATTCTTTTCCAGCTTTAAACTGTGAAAACAAAAATCGGGGTGGGGTGGGGGACTTAAAATTTAGCAGGGAACTTGTAAAGTCAAAACAGAAAACAAATATAGAAATCCATTAAAACAAACAAATAAAACCCATTGGGAGAGATGTGAGCTGGGCACAAAGCCAGAGAGAAGGGAGAAAGGGCCTACCATCTTCCTGGGGACTGCAGAAGAGGTCTCTTCTTGCCTGCAGGGAGGTGCTGCTGACGGAGAGGGGAGGCACCCCTGCCCCCATCCCACCCACAGTCACACCCACAACCCCTGTCCCCTAGGCTCAGCGCTGCAGCAACCACTCGTGTTCCCACGCAACGCAACGACAACCCTTCCCATCCAACACACAGCCGGGGGTGTGGCTCGAGGCAGCTGACCTATGCCCTCCAAAGCCATGGAAACCAGCCCAACAACTCCATCACTGGCCTTTGTGCTCCTGTGTGCCCCCCACTGTACCTTGCATACACATGAACACACTCGAACACATGAACACACCACATTCTCGTACCTGGAAGGGCTCCCATCTGTATTCTAGACTTCATTGCTGTGTGGCCTCTCTGGGCCTTGGTGTCTCACTGTCAATTCATGGACAGACTGGCTTTAACTCCAAAGGTCCATTCTTAATTTGCATGTGACTTTTAAGATCTGCCACCAGCCCAATCCAGTGGAAAATGGCCAGGAGCAATCAATGCAGTTCTGATGACATTGAGAGCATTCCTAAATCTCTCTCTCTCTCTCTCTCTCTCTCTCTCTCTCTCTCTCTCTCTCTCTCTCTCTCTCACACACACACACACACACACACACACATCTCACACACACACACACACACACACACACACATACACCATGTGCCTCCTCACTGTGTTCCCCAGCCCCCAACCCCACATCCAGTGTCAAAGCAAAAATTCATGTATGTTATGTGAGCAACTATCCTGCCATGAAGACAGGGAGACACACTGTCCCCAAAGCTCATTTACCTTCCCTTTTTGAATGCTATAACCCCAGTCATAGTGAGTGGGGAGGCTTCTTTGAAAGACGGGTCCTCTGCTGTCTTTGGGGTCAGTGGAAAAGCAGGTCTTCTGGGGTAAAAGATCTCCCTGTGTGGAAATTGCTTGCAGGACACTCTCCCAGGCAAATGTCAGCTTGCACCCCAGAGTGAACTGGGGGAGCACTCAGGTTTCCCCTTCTCCTTCCCCAAAGAGGTAAGGGCCAGGACAACAAGAACAGGCTAACCATTTCCTAGTAGCCTTGGGGAGAGGCTACCACCTACCCCGAGTGTGAGCTCTGCTCCTCTAGCATCAACCAGACTCCCGCTTGGCTTTGCTCTGCTGGCAGCGGCCTGCTCTGAGTGTTCTCTGCTGAAACTCTCTGGAATTGGGAGGCATGCTGAGGAAGGCTTCTATGGCTTCCTGTCTTGTGTCTGGAAGAGGAACATTCTCCTCCCAGGTCCGCACAAGGCAGATTATCTGCTAGTCCAGCCCAGAAGTTCAGGGAAGGCCTTTGGCCCCATGGCTCAGATCTGCAGGCTAGTTAATATGCAGGGAGGTCAGAACACCTTCCAAACTGGGCAAAAATAGCACCTTATCCTTCCTCGCTCAGCCCTGCCCAAGACCCAGCTGATTCCAGACCACCCCAGATCAAGGCCTAGAGACACAGGAAAGGGCCATACACGTTTGCTCCTCTCTGCGGAGAAACTGTGGTCCCAGCTCCCTGAGCTCTGGCCAAGTATTTGAGCAGCAATCGAACTTCTTCCCAGGCAGTGAGACCTGGGGTCAGGCTACCCAAGGACTTGTGGGTGAGAGGTAATATCAGCATGACTGACCAAGAAAGGGCTAGGGGGCCTGGAGGGAAGGGGCAATGCTTCCTGTGATGACTGACAGCTCATACCCAGCTCTGGTCAATTCAAGAAACCAATTTCCATTTTATTTTCTTGGTGGGTCCTTTTTTTTTTTCCAGACTGTTAACAGAAAAAAATTTTAAAAAGAAGAAACCTAAAAACAAAACAAAACGACAAAAAAAAAAAAAAAACACAAAATCCTGGTACATGAAATAAAGATTTTTTTTTTATAGCTTGGTCCTCACTTCCATGAATTCCTTTCATTTCCCAACTCTGGCATCCCATTTAAAGCAGTTCTCAGAGTTGAGCGGAGGTAGACACAGACGACATGCAGTAAAGCATCCCAACTTCCAAAGTCAGGAATCCCTCTCGTCAGCATTCCTTCGTGACAATTACATGCCTCCTGTGACCGGGAGCTTGCCCCCTCAAAAGGTGGCGGAGGCCAGTGCCAAGCAGCTCTCTGGCAAGTCCCTGCTGTCACTGTCCGTCCTTTCCCTTCACGCTCCAGCAACTCTGGTCCCTCTTCACATAACTGTGCCCCCATTTTTGAAAGCAGAGCTTATACCATCCTTGAGCTCTCTCCCCTCTCAACAAGCCAGCCCCCCACTCACTAGCCCACTGCCCCCTTCCTTGTCTGTGCAATAGACAGACAGGACGCTGGGCTCTGAAGGCTTCCTACAGGCTAGAATCTTCAGAGGGCACCAGGAGCTGCCACAAGAATGGGGAGGGTCTTGTAGGAGACTCTCACTTGACAAAGTGGAAGAGATAAGAGGCTTTGATCTTGACCTTGGAGAGAGGCCCCAAAGGGCAGCTGGCAAAGGCCAAAGCCAGCATTTAGCCCTGGCTGGTCCGCTCACGGAAGGAGGGCCTTTAACACCTCTACATGTGAATAGAATCTGTTTCATTGGGAACACCTCTAACATCAAAATCTGTGATGCCAGATAGGTTTAGAGGAAAGCAAGGGTGTCATATCAAATCAAGACTTAGAAAGCAAACCAAAAAACACTCATCTGGTGCACATCTGAAGTTTGGGGGCATTCTTTAACCATATCCCTTTTGCCCACTGCTGGGGACCAAACGCATTACCCCATGCTTGCCAGCAAGCACTCTAGCAACTAAGCCACCTCCCGACCTGACCACCAGTTTGACCCACCTGCCCATCACCTTTCTGAATCTGTTGCCCTTGACCTAGAGGGTAGATGGCTGTGCTGCGGATCCAGTGATTTAAGGAAAACAGAGCTGAGCTGGTTTATAGTGGAGTTATTAGCTTGCCGGCTGGAGCTCCAGCTACCTCACTCGCTGACAGCCATTATCACCACAGACACATGAACACTCCTTTGTTAAAATGGGTGGCATTTGCTGGCCTGTTTTATTAGTATTATTGGAAGGAGGCACAGACACACCATAAGCCCAGTTTTTACATGGTTCTGGGGATTCAAACTCAGGTCTTCATGTTTGCACAGCCAGGGTTTCACCCACTGAGCCATCTCTCAAGCCCTACCTGGTTATTTTAATATTTGCCTTTAGAAAGCTAAGACAAAGCAGGGAAGGGGGAAAGAAGTCACTGTAAACAAGCCACAGTCTGTCACCCAGCTCTGGGGACTATTGGGCTCCAGCTGCTATGGTCCCAATGCTGACACTTAGTGAAATAGTGAATAGCGGTGGCTGAGACCACCAGGAGGCCTTTGTGAAGCAAACTATGGTCCAATGTTAGAGGAGGGAGCTGAGCCAGCATCCTGCTCCTGAGACTAGTGAGAAAAAGGATGAAGTGAGAGCCACACCAACCCAAGAAGAGCAAGGTCCCACACTCAGAGGCCCAGAAAGGTCCATGGGAAGATCCACCATTCAGAATGGCCTGCTCAATTTAGCCCATAGGGGACATACTGTCAAGACCCACCCCCATAAATTCCAGGCTCTTTGGGGTTCACCCTGAATGAGCATGGGACCCCAAGGCAAGCTCACCAAAAGCGGCTCAGGGATTATAAACCAAATGCCAACAGCTACAAATCAAACTGAGAACCTGGTAACATGTCCTCTCCTGTCCTGACCATACAACTTACCCTGCCAGGTCCTGTACCTCAATAGCAGCCAACGTAGTCCTGA